AAGATGGGGGAGTAGTTGCCTCCTGTAACTTCACCCCTCCCAACTCAATGCTCATTTTTCAGATTCCCTATGGTCACCTTAGACCTTATGCCCAAACCTGGGATAAAGGAAAACCTAGCCAGAATGGAATAACTTGCCAATCTATCAGTTAAGCTATAGATATTCTTCCTCACCATGATCCTGGTAGAATGACACATTCAGATCATAGACATCCTTCTTCCTCTCCCAGGTCCTTTAATTATGATAGTGACCTGCCTCCTCATGGTGTCTTGCCTTTTTATTTCTCCATTCTAGGATGTGAACATTCTCCAATGATGAATTCCTTGTCTGGGCTAAAGCACCTACTGTCAGCTTCTACGTGGGCATCAACTGTCATCCCGTCAACCCTCCAGAGCCCCACCACAACACCCCTGTCCAGCAGGAAGTAGTCAGAGAGACTCATCGCCCTCTCCTAACAGCAAAAAGATGGGAATGAAAGGTTTCTGCTCTAGTATAAAAGTATAAATTACTGGACATTATGCTGGTGGTCTAACGTGGCAGAAGGCCAAAGTAAAACCAACACTTACCCCATGATCACTTCCTCCTCCTTCCCCTGCAGCCCTGATTACAACTTCCTCTTTCCTTTCTCTGCACATGAAGAGAATTCCAGCCAGCTCTTTATGTATCAGCAATGCCTGCACCAAGCGCCACTTCCAGTCAGAGATCACATACCCCTCAGACTCCTCCACTTCCATCAGAGGAAAAAGTTCAAGTCCTATGGGTTTATGCTCTTTTCCACATACTCCATAAGGCATTCTTTTTCTTTTTGTTTCTTTATTGTGCCCCCAAACTCTAACATCTAACACACTGAGTAACTCATACCTAGTTTCACTATGAGCAGATACAGCATAACTTCTGATTTATAAGATGGAAGAAATTGAGAGAACATTTCTCACAATCAATCTTTTACAACACATGGCAACATCTTACATTAAAAACACTTATGTATGCTAATGGAAATGTCTGGTTTAGCATGGACTGCGTATGAGGTTCCATTGATGTGTAAATATTCACAACAACTTGTAGAAAATCAAACTTTGAAGTGATAATTCATTCTGAAACTGTGTTTCAGAGAGGTCAAATAGGGATCAATTTGCCTCATTAAAAAGATTAAAAATAATTTTTCTTGTATTGTTGTGACAAAAGTATTCATCACAGGAACTGTAAAGGAAATACTTGGAAAAGGAATAAAAATCTTATTGATTATAAGATCTAGGATAAAGGTAGTGGTGTCCTCTTTTGAAGACACCGGAATGGTTGTGTGGTTAACAAGGTGACATGTAAGGATGTGGTTTGCCCTGGAGATTTTACTTCAGTCTCTTTCTAGCTGTGTGACCTTAGACAGTTACTGAAGCTCTTTTTGCCATTCTGTACAATGAGGAGTTCATCGTAGCAACCACCTCAGAGATTTGGTAAGGAAATTAAATCGTGTATTGACATATGATCAGGACAGTATCTGACAAATGATAAATGATTGCTAGTCTTATTCATTAACTTTTGTAGACCATCCCTAGATTCACTATTTTTCCAAACTAGTCATGCTGTGCTAGCCAAAAGATAAAGTGGAGAACTGTTAAGCACTCAAGCAAAGTTTTATGGTCCTCTTTCTGGTATCTTTACCACTGAAATAGCACATTTCTTTGAGTTTAAATTAGGTTAACATTAAAGCCTCTTTCCAGGTGGTGGAGGTACACACCTCTAATTCCGGCACTCAGGAGACTGAGGCAGGAGGATTGCCATGAGTTTGAGGCCAGCCTGGGTTCAAGATCAGCCTGAACTGTGTAATGAGACCCTGTCTCAACAAGGAAGAAGAAAAAAAGTTAAAGCTTTTCATGCAGCAAATTTACTTCCCAAGCTCCCTTCCAATTTGTATTATTTTTATGATTTTCATGATTCCAACACCAGGAACCAACGCTCTGGAATCTGCAGCTCCCACCTTCTAGGCAAGATGCCTCCCAATTGGCTTTGCCACCCCAAGTGCTCTGCTGTCCTTCCCTGAGTGTGCTATGAAGTCCTGGGAAACTGTGATCTGTATTTGTGGGGTAGCTGGCTTTGGGTGAGATAACCACTCAGGCAGGTGGGGTTGCACTAGCTAATCCATCCCCATTTCCAAGTCTTCTTCCTGGTGTCGTCTTCACAGGGTGCAGCCTCGGTAGCAACACAGAGCTCAGCTCTCAGGAGTGCTCCACAACTGACTCAACACTTGCTCTGGCCCTTTCGACATTCTCAATTATCTTATATTTGAGCTTTTGTTTGAGAAGAAAAGGCTAATGGGAAAATGGAGCATGTCCAAGAATACAAGAAATATGCACAGTGTGTCCCCTCTTCTGCACTACTGCTGCCCATGAGCACAAACCTGAGAGCAATCCCACCACAGATGTGAGTGCAGAGACTCAGAGTGGAAATGAGTGGAAGTGGGTTATGTTTTTGGCTGAATGGAAAGAAAGGTAAGTGGAGACTGGGAGGAGGCACTGACCGTGTGAGAGGCCACCTCGGAACCAGAGCTTATTTCCCGCACCAGAGGAAACAGTGAAAAAACACCGTCCTCTTTCTTTCTCATGTTTCTTTCTTTGCTTTAGCCAACCAGTGACACTGGATATAGACATAGAAAGGAAAGGACACAAGAAGCCATAATCTCTTTTAATTTTTCAGGTCCTTCTTTACTTATCTGTGAGCTAAAGGTAGGAAGTACTGGTAGAATGTATAGGTCCTGACAGGGAAAGCAGAACCCTGGCCTTGTGGCACATGCTTGGAATTTGGGGCAACTTAGTAGAACCTGGCTCAAAACTTACACATAGAAAGTTAAAAGGGCTGGGAATGCAGCTCAGTGTGAGGGCCTGGGTTCCGTCAGCAGTACAGAAGGGGGGGGGGGTCAGAAGAGGGAGAGAGGAAGAGAGAAAAAGGATAAGAAAGAAGGAGGAAGGAGAGAGAAACAGTGGAGCCAGTCTTGTGCAGTTTTTACTGTTCTAGTAAGAATGGAGTTCACATATTAAAACATGCATATAGTTTATGCAATATGAATCGTGTAATTTTGGCAGTTTTACATATGAGTTAAAGTTAATTGAAAAATTCATACTAATATTTTAAGATTTGGTCTTACTTCAAACAATGTTAAGCAGGGAATGGTGGTGCATACCTGTCACCCCAGCACTCTGGAGGCTGAGGTAGGAGGATCGCCCTGAGATCAAAGCAGGCCACGCTGAACTACCTGGTAAGTTCAGACCAATCTGAACTACACAGTGAGGGCCTGTCTTAAAAAAAAAAAAAAAAAAAAAGGAAAGAAAGAAAAGACAAAGCCCAAAAACCCACACACATAATACAAACAGAAGGTATAATATGCTATGACAAGTCTAGAGAGAGTGCAGGAAGAAAATGTTGTATTTGGCCTTCAGTGGCTTTTTTTTTTTTTTTCTGCTTTGGGAAATATTGATACATACAGCACTTTTATTTTGCCCCGATCTTCATTAATTATGTGACCTATACTGCTTCTGCCTGTATTTCACTGTGGAAGGGGATAAGGCTAAAAGCTCGACTTCTCAGCCTCCTCTGCATCTAGAAGTGGCCATGTGTCTAAATTTCCAGGAAAAATGACATAGCTGAAGTCTTCTGGGAGTCAAGGGAAGAGTTAAGTGCCTACAGCAAGGATCAGCCATGGGCTGGGCTGCCCTTTCTGCCTGCCTGCCTTGAACATGCATCATTGTGGAGCTTGGTGGCCATTTTGTGGTCATGAGACAATAAAAATGAGAACAGAGAGTCACAGTTGTCAGAGGGAAAAGCTGTGTGTGAGTCTGTGTCCTAGATCTTGGTGAGGTGCTGAGCAAACCCTAGCAGCCACCAACCTAGATATTTTTGTGAAAAAAGGGAATCTGTACTGTGATGGACATGTTTGTCTCTCCCCTCAAATTAAATATTGCAACCTTAATGAGGTAGTGATAGAAAGCAGGTCCTTTGGGTAGTAATGAGGTTCCCATGAGTCCCTAAAAGTATTAATGTCTTTGTAAGAATAGAATGAGACTCTCAGCTTAGCCTCTTCCCCAAAGGCTGACCAAAGGGCAGAAAGGGGATATTTAAAAAACACTGATGTGTGTGAGTCTTGGACTCAGATTCTCCAGCCTTCAGAACTGTGAGAAATTGTTTAAATCTTGCAGCTATGGGACTCATGTTAGAGCAGCTCTAAAACACCTTCTACTTATCCTTAGCCACTGTGAGCCTTCCCATTACTGTGTTTGGTCCACTCCTGATGGAGACACAGACTGAGAATCTCCAGGGTCCATTATCAAAGGAAGACAGTCCCTTCAGCTTCTGGCCCTATCACTTCCTATCATGAAGGTATTAAACCAATCTTTCTGGCCAGGGAAGGAAGGGGACGCAAGTGTCACGTCAACCTTTCCATTCTCTTCCTACTGTTAGCTCTGTGTACAATGCTCTCATCCCAGCAGACCACAGACTCCATGATGATCAATTAGTTGATGAATAAGTAGGCAGTTTGGGAAGCACATTCCAAAAATGTCTGTAATGTCTGTGACTCAGCTCTGGGCCAGTTGGGTTACTAACATTTGGAACTGCAGCTCTCTCTTCCTCTCCCCTCCCCTTACCTCTCCATCTCTGTCCCTCCCCCTTCCTCCCTGCTCTTTTCCAGTGAAAACATAACTGAAGTCAACTAATGAAGAAAGAATTGACAGGAAACTACAACCAACATCATGAGAAAAACAGCCATGAAGACTGTCACTTTGGGTTTTCTTCTCTAACAATCTTCTTTGGTCACTGAGCACCCTGCACTGTGATCTCCTTAGAGACAAGCGCTTGTATGACTTCAGCACAAGTAGAGGTTTGCTAATTAAGTGCATGATTCCAGAAAAGCAAGGGCAAATGAAGGACTGGGTCACTCATTAGCTGAGATGACAAGTGGCTGGCTGTGTTCCATCCTCAGCGTTTTGCCAATCAGGACATGTTAACAGAGTTGTTGCTGGTACACAGCTTTGTTCCTGTCCATGTTTGGCAGAGCAACACAGAACCTGAATTTTAGTTACTTTTAGGAGAAGGGAATTATATAAAAACACATCATTTCCCAGCAAGAATTAGGTGCTTTATTATTTAGCAATCTCCTCAAACAGTAATGGCTTAAATATTTACCAGGAACTGTCGGGCAGCTGCCGTCTTTCACTGACTTTGTACTGAAACTATGCCAAGCATGTGGGCCGGTGCTCCTCACTCATCAGGTAATTCAGGAGTCAAGCAGCTCCTGAGCTGGCTGCATGCTCTGCTCTTCCCCGCTTTGCTTTTAGCACAGAAAAGGACTCGGTCACCGCCTAAGGCTCTTTTAACACCATCTGGTGCTCTTTTAACACTGTGATTAACATTTTGGTGGAAGAGTCCAACATCACTGGTTGAAAAGAATCTCTGGGGGCTGGGGATTTAGCTCAGCGGCATAAGCGTCTGCCCTGCAAGTGCGTGGTCGTGAGTTCAATCCCTGGTACCGATGAAAATAAATATTGATCCATTTACTTAAAAAAATCTCTGTACTGCTGCACAATTTTACAATAAAATACCCACAAGAAACTTACCCTTAAGAGCTGGAGACTCCTATAGTCACTCTGAAGCACAGGGTCATAGGTTATTATGATCTGAATGGAATGAAATTCCTGGGCCAGTGCTTCAGGAATGCAAGACTATCTCCAGAAAATCATTCTCTCCTCCTTTTGTACTGCTTTGTGTTAGACTGTTGCAGCTTTTCGCTTAACATATAGTATTTAATGCCTCCATGAAACCTCTTCTTAGCTTGAAGGGGTTCCCATACTATGCTGAACAACATAGTATGCTCAACACTGAAGCACAGGTCTGCTTAATACCACTACCAACAAATGAAGTGCTGATTCAGTTTTAGCAAGCACCTTCCTCTTCCTGGCCGGCAGTGGCTCCTACAGCACCATACAATGAATGCTGTTCTTTGCAATGAGCATAGTGATTTGAGTTTGGCTACGCACTGAATAAGCCACAAGGAAAGAACACACTGGCTCAATCAGCTACACGTACTGCAGAGCACTAGGTGAGCTGGGTAATTTGTGCAGCACGTTCTTATCAGTGGCCTCTCCTCATCTGCAGCTTGCTTCTGGTTTCTCTGGAAGTTGCTTTTGTGGGGTGTCCATTTTAGATTACTGCACCTCACTACTGTCCAAAAGAGATCAAGTGTCTTTGCAAAGGGGGTTAAAAAGACAGCTATGTCAGGTATTCAAGATAAGATGCATGAAAAGATAGCTTTTCCGTGGGTATATTTCTCCTTAGAGAAATTTGTAACAGCAATACTTCATGTCCTTGCAAGGTCTGCCTTGGGATTCTCCTCCTTGTAGTTCCAATAGATTTATTGTTACCCTTTTGTTGGGATCAAATTCAGAGTCTTGACCATGGTAGGGACAGTATTTACCATTGAACTAACCCCCAACCCTTCCCAGGTTTTCTTGAATTCTTCTACTTGGTCAGTTTCTAGCCGTGTGTTATGCTATAAACACATACCATTGACCTGCTTACCTCACACTGTAGCTGTCCTGAAGGGCCATAACCAGCCTAGACTGGTCGCCCAGGTAGTCTGGACAGGATCAGACGTGACTGAATAAAGACCAAGGGTAGGAGGCCCAGGGGAGGCAGTGTGGGACAGGATAGTACTGATGAGTGTTTTTGTGTTTGGCGTCTTATTCTGATACAGGTTTTACATACTAGGCTCCATTGAACTGCCAGCAATGAAAGCATGTGTGGTTCTGAGGAAAATATATCATTGAAGGAGACTGGACAGTAACTTACATTTATATTTTGTGGATTCTCACTTTCTCTTCATCTTTATCGACACTCTGGAATGTACTGTAACTCAGATTTACTTACTTTGTGTTTTTTCCATAATGGTCAACCCAAAGAAAAGGTCAAATATCAGAATAAACTGGTGGTAACACCAGAGATTTTGCCATTCCAGTTTATTGAAATGAGTAAATTTATAGCTTTAATTTGCATACAGAAAAGTAAAAGAGAAATTCAGTATGTACAAAACAGTTGCATGGCTGATCATCTCTTTCAAAAAGTCAACTACCTAGAAATAGATACCTCCAGTTTAGTACTTTTAGGTTTTTGGACCTTTAAAGTACTATTTCAAGTCTCTGTTTATGACTGAGTAGGAAGCCAGACAGAAAAATTATGCCACGTATAATCAACTATTACCATTAAATGCAAAACCACAGGACTTCAGCTTGGATTACTTGGAGCTAATCTATACAGGCTCCCAAGGCCACCTTGTTTAAATCCTGAGTGGTCATCCTCTTTCTCCCCAAAAAAGGTAACATTGGATGTGGTTGATTAACACCCACAAGAACCTGAGCATTAAGGGTCAAGAGATAACATTTTAAAAACCCCACACAAAACTCATTTTGGCAAGAACAAATCCCTCAGAACTATGCTAACAATAGGACTGAAAATGAACTGGGAAAGTTTCCAAGGTTATGGGAGAAAAATATTGCAGGCATTAGATTTTTGATGATAACCCCAAATATTTGTTTGTCACCTTCTCCCCTCCCATATATCTTCCTGCTAACTATGAAAGCATGGCCTCAGGAAAGTTTTCCAGTTACTTGATGAAGGTCCGGCATGACTTCCCCCACCAATAAGCACCAGGGTGTTGGGCACAGTCACATGTGCTGCTCTGTAGAGCACGGTCCTTCAGTGTTGAGTGGAGCTCAAATTTTCTTTCACATTCACTGCTGTTATGAACTTCAGCCTGAGGATGGTCCCCCGGTCCAGGGAAGGTTATAGGGTATACACATGTAGTTACTGGGACTAGCATTACTCAGGAGAAAGACAGGTTCCAGGTATGTGAACCATTTGATTCCAGATCTGTGAATCATTTGATATTGTTTTAACCCCATGAAAATCTATGGTTTGTAAAACCAACAACAAGAAGCAAACAAACAAACAAACAAATGAATGAAATAGCCTGGGAGGGGGAGGGGTACTTGAACCAGGAAGAGACTGAAAAAAGAATCAGAGGAGAAAGGTAAAGAGATGAATGTTTTTCCCCTTATTTGCAAGAGCTAGAGAGTTACCAAAAGGACAGTCTTGGCTGTGAGAGAAGTTGGTCTTCAGAAAGAAGAGAAACTATCTTTTAAAAAAGGTCCTCAGGTGAATTAGATTTCAGAGTATCTGAGGAGACTCTGGACTTTCATTTTATTCAAAACATTTTCTGTAAGTGATGGCTGGAAGGAAGTTCTTTTAAGAAAGGTATTGTTCTACCGGAATTTTAGGAAACAGAATGCTCACATTAAGCAAGGAGCTGGCTATTTACTCAAAACAGTAATGGGCGGCAGTGTCTGCCTGGCCCAACCAGACAGCGGAAGATGTGATGTTGTCTCTGAGGGTGCAGGAACTTCACAGGTATAAGAACGTGGTGGAAGGCTACTTCATTTACATTTGTGCTAAAGAGTTTAGGATCTTCATTTACTTAAAGCCATAGATTCAGCTTAGCTTTTAGCCTAGGCAGAAAGTGAAAGGAATTTTACAAGTGGAAGAGGCAATAAGAAATAAGGCAACAGATAACTCATTAAAGCTGAACAAGGACAGTGGACAGCACGTGTCTGCCTATTAGCTTTGTCCTTGACTACTAAAGCCAATCTTCTCCTTCCTCTGGATAGTCAGCATCCCAAGTTCCTACAGAGACACGGAGAAGAAAAAACTTGTGGTTAGAACTTTTGAATTAGTATTAAATGTCCAGTAATTACTACAAATGTCAATCATAGCATCTCCCAAGGCTCATGTGAGGAATTCAGTAAGATAATAAATGTTGAACAAGTAAAGTAATTAACACAAGTGCTCAGTAACATTAGCTGTTTTCTTTCACAAGTTATCTCCACCCAATCTACTAATATAATGGGTTATATTTATTAATTGTTGTGAATGTCTTAGTGCATCTAATTTACCAATTAAACTTTATTGCAGGTAGACATGTGTGGGGAAGCAGCGCACAGTGAATTCAGTACTATCCGAGCTTCAGGTATCTACTGGGGGTCTTGGATCTTCACCTTCCACGGATAAGGGGGAATGATCACAGGATGCTATACACTCAACCTTACTGTTGATGTCACATTTGAGATGCTTATACATTTAAAACAATTGTAATTATAGATGCGTTAAGGCCTAGTTTAGCGCCATGCTTCAGTGTGGCAATGCTTTAGAAACATGGACTTGGATTCTTTTCATTCTTTTTATTGTTCTGCCCTTACCAGTTTTCCCTACCTTCTCCAAAATGGAAAAAATACTTCCTTTCCTCACATAACTTCAATCTTTTAGATTTGGAACACAACAGCAGACCCCGGCAGGCACTGAGGTGGGCACACCTAAGAGCTTATCGAGGAAGAAGCCCACCAGAGAGGGACCAGCCTTCTGTTGAATTTTGATTTTTACCACTTCTGAAGGAGACAGTAAGAGCTGCAACTAACTTAGAGTTAATATCACAGAGTGACTGAGAGGGCTCACACAGAAATACAAGGCAGAAAAGTCGTGACCACTGTCTATTTAGTTGACTTGTTTGGTGGCTTCAAAAGGTTCTCAGAAGTAGAACATTTTACAGGAAACCAAGTTACTGTGGGAACACTTCTCAGCCACTTCAATATGAAGGCTAAAAAGTTAGAACGCTCAAAACATGTATGTTGTACTGAATTTTACTTCCATTCAGAACTGAAATATCAACGCTTATCCCATGGACATATCATATCTTGATGTGATTAATAATTCTCTCTGTAAATGTTCAGTCATTATTGAATTAGCCCGGAACAGATTTCTGTATCTCTTACTGATAAATTACAGACATTTAACTTCTTTCCAACCCTGAAAATAAAATCTCACTCTTTATCAATATCATTCCCCCCACAGACAAGCTTAGTGGGATCTCCTACTTACAGAGTTAGGCAAAAGGATTTCCAAAAGCGTCCCTATATACATCAGAAGATGCAGGTTGAGGAGAAGCCGTCTAAGGAAATATAATTCAGGCAAGAAATGTAACTACAGTCATAACAAAAACAAATTCTCAAATTCCTTTAAAAGTCATTTAGGTCCTAAACAAATCAATGAATGCATTTATGATTTATGCCTACTGCTTTATAGATGGTGATATATACTATTTATTAAAAATCAAGGTCCAGGTGAATTACCTGTGCTTCCACAATGTGGGAAATATTTTTATAAGCGATAGAATCATGGGTAGGAAATTAAGAATTTAAATCTTTAAATGGTTTTTAAGATAATATTTTGGTTCAGTTTCCTCTCAAAATGCTTTTACAAGCCAGGTGAAATGAGAAATGAATGGTGTCTTCTACCTATTATTTCTGAAACCCAGGAGAAAGTAGTCTCTGCAAGAATAATCTGAGTACAGTTTGAATGAATGTTCAAGGATAAATGTGAATGTTCTCAAGGATAATCTTAGCAAACAGATGCTATCATCCAGTTACTGCCAGACAAGGTCCATTCGGGAAGCTGTAGCGGTGTGTGGCATGGACTTTGGAGCATCAGCTTCTAGGAGTTGATACTTACAGAGGGTTGTGGTGAGCTGAAGGAATCTTTAGAGAAAGGATTCTCAAACGCTCTGTTGGTAGATTTGGTAACTGACAGGGCACCTTGTCTGGGAGCTGGCTTTGGTGGTTCTACAAGGCAAAATCCCAAGCAGTCAGTAAACAAGATGTCCTCCATTGTGGTACACATCCCTCATTCAGTTTACCCTTGAAACTTAATTATATACTTTTTTGGTACTGGAGATCAAACTAATTATTTATTTTTGAAATTTACACCAGTGGAATAAAAATCCCTGCCAAGTACTAGGATGCTTAATGATAACCATTTCAGAAGCAAAAGCTACATGTATTTGTGTGAAGTGGAAGAGATTCAGAGCTCCCTTAGGGCAATGGGAAATGGATGACACTTTATCAGACAATACTCCAACCCACATTTCAATAGTTCTTGGCAGCCCTCTTAATAACTATCACTAGAGGGCAGCATTGGGCCAATTTTTAAAATTGGCTAATCTTACATAGTTGGCTCCAAATGGTAAAAGGTTATGTTGCCTCTATAACCAGGGAGTATCAAAGAAAGCAAGAGTAAAACTATTGGTGGGTGAGAGGGGGCTCTTGTGAGGATCTCCTGGGCCCATATGACGGCACGAACAGTAGACGCAGCAGGCAGAGAAGTGGGTAACTCACCACTGATCTTGTTCAACAGTTGATTAGCATCAAAATCATCATGGTCCACACTCTCCTGGGGAATGCCGACTTTGCTGTTGAAATAACTGGAGAAGGCACTGGAAGTGCCAGAAGAAGGCTGCTCTCCCTTCCTGGAGGGCAGGGCAGGTGGCTGCCGCAGTTGGAAGTCCTTAAACATTTCTTTCACTTCTTTGACTTCTGTATCCCCAAGCGGGTCTAAGGCAGTGAAGGCATCACTGGGGATGTCCTTTGGAGCAGTTCTGGGAGGTGGCTGAGGAGGGCTGACCACGAGCGAGGGCAGCATGGAAGAGGACAGAGCAGGTGGTGGAGGAAAAACATTGCTCTGGAAAGGGTTCCCCAAGGAGCTTGCTGTGGGCCAACAATTGGGTGCCACAGATACAGAGGAACCCCAAGCTGCAGGGGGTGAGGGCGAGGTGGAGGTTACAAAGGACGAAGGCTGGTTCCAACACTGAACAGCTGGGCTAGCACCAAAAACAACCGGCTGGCTGAAAGCTGCAGGCTGGCTACCCAGCATGGCTCCCGGGACCATGGGAGTGGACTGATTAAAGACAATGGGTGGGCTCCACGGTCCTGCTTGCGGAGGGGACACTGGGACACTACCTGAAAGAAAGGAGAAGGGAGGTGTCAGGACACTAGCTTGAAGTGGCCTCTGAAGTTTTTGAAAGCATGAGTGTCTGGGAACATTCACAGAGCATCTATCTAGCCTTCATTATGCCTTGAGAATGACATGGAAACAAAAGCTCCGAGAGGTTTAATCACCCCCAAAGTTAATTGGCTAATACACCACAGCTAGCATTTGAATGCTGGTTGCATTTTGAGGCCCATGTGCTTTGTATCACAGCTTTGTGACTTGCCTCATCAGAAGGGTAACAATCTACACAAGCCTAATCATGAAAAACTGAGTCTTTATCAAACATAAAACAACAATAGCAACAAAACTTGATACATCTCAAAAGCAACTAGACCAAGGGTGTGGTGCCTCGTGCCTGTAATCTCAGCACTCAGGAGACTGTGGCAGAGGATCACTCTGAGAGAGGTCAGCCTGGGCTACACAGTGAGTTCAAGGACAGCCTGAACTATGTAGTGTGACCGTGTTTCAAAAAAACCAAAAACTGACAATCAAAAACCCAGACCAGAGCCCAACAACAGCATAACTGATCTGTCATATGCACATATCTATATAAAAACTACGCTGCTGGGGCTGGGGATTTAGCTCGGCAGCATAAGCGCCTGCCTTGCAAGCAGACAGTTGTGAGTTTGATCCCCAGTACCGATAAAAAGGAAAAAAACAAAACAAAAACAAAAAAAAAACTATGCTGCTGATGAAGTAATGAGGGCAATCTGCACGCTGTGACATACTGACTTTTCCTTTAGCAGCTGGCTTCTGCTCAGACTTAAGGAAACCAGCTATCACGCATGTGCATAAGCTCTCAACATGCTTCCATCTCAAAGAAGCCGTTTTGAAGCTGCCCTACTTGTTAATGCTGCCAAAACTGACACAGCTATCTGGATAAAATTTGGCCAAGTTAGTTTTAGATTTTTATGCATAAAAATGGAAGCAATAGTCCTGGGAGGACTGTTTCAAATAAGAGCACTGCCTGCCATGTGTCATTCACTAAACCTTGCCAGAAATTAGAATGGATTAATTGAGTAGGGGAGGAGAGAAGATAAAGCTGTACAGGGCAAACGATCTGGGTGGGGTGAATGGCTCAGTGCCTGCATCCTCGCCATGTTTATTAAGAATCAGTTAAATCATGAAAATCCAGGTCTCTCCAATCCCCCTTCTCTTGAGGGGCTTATTCCTAACATCTTTTTTTAATAGATGGGGCATCTTCTTGCCTTCCTCTTCCCAAGTGTATTAATGAGTCTGTTAAACTGTTACCACTAACAAAAACCTTAAGTTCAGCTTCATACTTCCTTATGGATGATACTGATATTCTGCTCTCAAAATCTACTTGCTTTGAGGTTTGGGGCCCACTGTTCTCTGATTTCTAATCCATTCAGATGAAGCTTTCGAACTTCGATTGGAAATATTTTTGCTTCTAGAGTGAGTAGTTCTTGGCAAATGGTGTTCAGAGGTTGATCTAGCCAAATATTCTTCTTAGATGATCTTAGCATTTAAATCCTTTATTGTCAGAAATGCTGGCCATGGGGTTAGGAATACATTTATACTCACAGAGAGACAGGTTTTAGAAAAGGCCACCTTAATCAACATGCCTGAAGGAACTGGATAAAGAATGTAACTAAAATTGAGAAGGTCACAGTCCCTGAGTAAAGAGACAAACTGGCACATGGGCTTTGAATCCGCCACCCTGTCCCCCCATTTGGCCTCCTTAATGGCCTGCCCTATTTTTTTTTTCTGAATGGTATATTAATTTAATTTTAGAGACATAGAAATCATTTACATGCAAGAATCTCTCTTCATAACAAACCAGGGGATAATTTCTCTTAGAATTTATAATATCAGCCCTAAACGTGGGCTTAGTTTGAGCAAAGTTATTGCTAGTGTTTTAAAACAAACTTGTTTAAATTTTATTAGCTGAAGCCAGAGTTTCTCACTAATAATTTTTGCCACTTTGATGTACCAAACCACAAAAAAAAAAAAAAAAAAAAAGTAGAATTGTATCAATTTTCACTTTGGACTACTTGGCTTTCCTGAGGCAAACTCATGGCTTAAGTCATAGGCAGTATCAGTAAGAATGATATTTGTGAAAGAGAAAATTATTTTATTTTCCAGGAACGAAAGACTTTCCCAGGATATGCTGATTTCAACCTTCATTCCCAGCTACCACGTTTCACATGTTATTTCTAAGACATTTACAGCCCAGTTGAAGAAAATAGTGACAAGGACTAAGGAAAAAGTAGCCTGGGTATAAAACTTTAATTTTATTGCCTTCTGAAGCTACATCAAAACATGAGGTAGCAAGCAAGTCAAAGCCGAGGGCTCAGCTTTCTGTAACTCCCTCTCCCCATCCCCCAGGTCTCCAGAAGAGACGGTCCCCCAGCTGGGTCTGGCGGAAGCCAGACCTACAACCTTCCATGGCTTGGCTGAGCATCCCTGCTAGTGGACAGGGGCTATACTGTAGAGCTCAGTCTGAGTTCCATGTCCAAACTTAAAAGCATCATCAGTATTCTGCAGTTGTATACCCCAAGGCCTCAACGGGGGCACCTCGCCAAAAAGCTTCACTTCGTCTGAATAAATTAACAGTTATAGGGTCCAGCTGTATTTTCAGGCTGACTTGTTAAATATTGGCTGTAAAAATCCCTCAGGGCATTGATATTAGACTACAAAGCTCTGGGATGTGATCTGGTCACAGGCATTGCATGCAAGTTTTCTGCCTTTCTGTGCAGGAAAGATACTAACCTGCTCTACTGGGGATGCGGGAAACAGGCCATGCAGAAAGGGACCCAAGAGACATGAAGTGTCTACGGAGAGTCTCTTCATGAAAATGCCAAGCAGAGACCCGGAACACAACGGCTTCTCATACTAACATGGATTTCAGCCACCTTGGCAGTTAAGTACTACCCCGCTCCCGCCCTGATATGATTAAACAGATTTATTGTGGGAGAACCAAAATATTTTTCTTTGCAGGAAAACAGTGGAGGGAAGGAGAAGAAAAAGAGGACAATGAGGAGAAAGAGAAAGTGAAGGACAAGGAGAAGAGAGGAGGAGGAGGAGGAGGAGAAGGGGAGGAGAGCAGCAGCAGCAACAGCATCCTGGTGAAGGACTTCAGGAGACAAAGAAAATCAAAAAACTCTTGTCAAATTTTACCACAGAGAGGGGAGAGTTCTTCTTTATCTACTGTACCCCGCCTCCCAAACCAGAGCCTATTTCAAATTTGTAGAGGTGCCAAGAAGCAGATAAACAAAGACATTCCCCGGCAGGACAGCAAGAAGTGATGCTGAGGTTTCTGAAAAACTGTGTGTACCATGAAATCAAAAAGAGTTGGAGGCCATGGATAAAGAGTAGCAGGACCAGCCCGCAGTCACATGGCCTTTCCCATCAGCCTGCAGCAGAGCTGCTCAGCGGCTGACGTAGCTAAGGAGCCTGTTACACATGAGAAGCCCAGCACGTCTGAGGTATCCGATATAATTCCCACACCTCTTGTAGCTTTATGCTTCTTCCAAATTCACGTTTTGAGGACTTGCCTTCTAACTCTGGGGAGACTCTGCTAGCAAAATACTGGCAAAGAACCGCTAAGGAGGAAGTGCTGACGACTGGGTGGGATGCATGACTGTTTGACACTTATCTCTGCGGAGGGACACAGCTGGGCCAGAACCTAAGACTTTCGCCACAGACTTGCTTCAGACTTCACTCCTACCTATCTTGAGGAATGCACTTCTTCACATGGGACGCAAGTGGAGAGGGGCTAGGCCTCCACCTGTTATGGCAGCCGACATGGAAGGCATGCATGTTACTATTTCCAACACAGACAGCGGACAAGACTCTTTCATCTCATCCTTTCACCGTGGAAGCTGCCCTGAACTTCACATTCCTCACAGCCACCTCCCAAGAAGACACGGCCAGTTGGTCCAGGTATCTTGATCCTGAAAACACATTTCTTGTCACGTGCCAACTGGAGGAGCTGAGTTTCAGTTAGGAGATGAGAGCATCAAATGACAATGGGTTACGCAGGAGTAAACGTGAGAGAAGAGCTGCCTAGGATTTTCGGTCTTACACCTAGGACCCCACCGAGGATAAGAAATGCCTTCCCCTGCGGATCATGAGTGTGTGACTGAAAGTAGCAGAGTTGTATCCAAGCACATGTCTCGGCACCTACCTAGACTCGCAAGAGGTGCCACCGGGGCAGGAACATTTGTTTTGAAGAGATCCAAGGGGTTGCTCTGGGGGGCTGCAGACTGTCCTGTGGGTGATGTCTGGCCTGGAGGTTCTGAGACGGGAGGAGCAAAGATGTCCGATGCAAGCAGGTCATTTGCTGGAGACTGACAGGGCAGGGAGGGAGGGAGAAGAGTTACTCAACAACAGGGAAATAATGCAGGCTCCATTGGCTTTCTACCCTCACCCCAAACTTGCTATCTACAAAAAGAAAAAAAAACTTCCTATCTTCCTATTACCAACAAACAGCTACGACTGCCAAAAATAAGTAAATAACATGAATAATACATAAAAGACCAAAAGGCAAGAAAGAAAAGCTAAAAATGACTACAACGGGTAGACTACTGGGGCTTGGGGACTGACACAATCTAGGACTTGCAAAATGAAATCTCATTTCATTAATTCATTTGTGGTCTTTTGATTGACTCAAGGCTTGAAGCTGGGAAAGGAAAGGTAACTATGAGTAAGTATCCAAAGTAATTCTGATCATCCTACTGGATCTTAGTATCTACATGGAAAAGATACACTTAACAATAAGATAAAATTGCCTACTGCTACGAGTTTTAAAAAGATATCAATGGAAACTACATTTGAATGAAGCTGGTAAGTTTCTTTTAAGGAAATGGGTTATTAAGTCAACATTTAAAAGAGGAGATAAGCTTGAGAATTTCACATCACTAACCCCATGGACATGAAGGCAACAATGGGTGTGCACTGCATGTGTTAGTGTGGGAAGGGTACAAAGGGAATCATAATGACACTTGCCCTCCCATCCCGGGACACAATCAAACTTACCAGAGGTAGAGAAGCATAGCAGCATGAAAAATGGAAAAACTTGTATTTAGTTTAGTATTAAACGACAAGACATGCAAACGGAAAGCAGGTGTGACAAACACTGCTGAGAAACTGAGAAAGAATGGCCGCTCTAGGAAGGTGTTCTTGGAGAACAGATGTCCCTTAGCCCACCTTCTATGTACAGCCACATGGAAAGCTACAAGAGCAGAGGGAAAGGAGCTCGCATCACACCACCCTTTGGTACCGAGCATGCATTCTGCTAATGGAGATGTGGAGAAGACAATTCACCTTAGCAGTCCTTCTGCCTCTTCCCGGTTTGGTACTTTGTGGAGGTGGGATAATAGCTATAGAGTCATGTGGTGAGGACTGGACAGAGCTTTCCAAGTCCTGCTTTATGCCATTCGGTACAGAGAGTCCTGTGGGAGAGCTTCCCACAAAAGGGTTTGGGGAAGATTTGATATGGAAGCCGTCCTGTTCTCTTTCAGACACCCCATTTTGAGTTCTCACTGCTGGCTGGCTTTGCGTACTTGAAAAGGGCCACGGGCCTGCCTGAGCTTCCTGTTTGCCAGTCCGGTTAGAGATCTGGTCAAATTGCTGGCCAAAGTAATCAACATCACCGTTTTGGGGCCCATTACTCAGTGGAGTAGACAGACTACACAAATTCTCTTTCTTCTGATCTGGAGGTTTGAGAGAATCAAACGAAGAGGGTGTCGATTGGTCTGGCTGTGCAAAAGGATCATCACGGAAAGGATCAGGATTAGGTGTGGGGAAGAAGTTGAGATTGGCAGAAAAGGCATTTTCAGGCAAGAAGGATGCCTGAGGTTTTGGTCGTGGAAGAGAGCAGGAGGTGATGCCATTTGTTAGGAACGGATTTTCTCTTAAAGAATTTTGATTGGTGTCGATTTCAGAGTTTAGATCCACTAACAGGATATCTTTGCTTTCCTATCACATTTGGGAAGGAAAAAAAAAAGAAGTGTTAGTCCATGTTAAGATTTTAAATGAGTAAACTATATCAAATGACTAGGATCATTAATTCCCATTCGAATTTGGTCTCCACAGCCAGGGTGGCGTAACTACTGCTTCTGATTCCTCCCATCACCTCCTGGAGAGCGTTTCCTGGCTGCACACTCCGTCCTCCCTCCCTCCCTCCCACCAAGTGCTCTTTTACTTCCCAACCTTGTTGGTCCTTCATTAAGCGAAATCTTACTGCTGTTTATTTCCTGTCTCTGTTCACCTTCGTTCCTACATGCAGATCAATTGGCTGAGTTCACTACCAGCATTGTTTTAATACACACCTTTCGGTTTGGAGTCACTTTGAATGATTATCTAAATTTTCTGAGCTTAAGAAGTCGCTTCAGAAGCCTGGCCCAGCTGCCCACATGATGTCTGAATGTCACTTCTGTTATGTCCCTGCAGTCATGCACATCTCCGCTCTAACTGAGGGGATTCATCAGCTAGTGCTTTCATACTGTACAGTTCTGACTGGCAAAGTTGAAATAAATTTCCCTATGTTTCTCCTGGAGGAAAAATGATTTTCCTTTACCTCACAGCCTGTGAGTACGGGGTATGCCTCTTTTAGTACTTAAGGCTCTTGATGAAGATATTCCTCAAGTCAGATGTCTCAACAGTGCCACCTAGTCTCTTCCTTGGATGTAAAGTTTACTGCCTATGGTCTTCTCTGCCACGTAAAACACGTGTCTCATCTAAGCCGTTACATATTAACCTCTCGTACTTACATTTATTTTTCAGAATATAGCATACAGCTTTCTATGCAGTAGAAGTAATCCTATCTACTGAGTGTTAATTCAACTATTATTAATTCCATTTACGTATAAGATAAAGATGTAGTTTAAGTCTCAATCTGAACAACACAATGCCAAATCCCTAATTCTGTTACTTTCATTTCCTTTCTATCATTTTTCTGGTATTTTGACCATTTGGTTTCTTTACTATTACATAACTTTTTTCTTTTCAGCATAAAAGCATAAAATTGGATAAATCTAACGCATCTTTATTCTGATTCTAATTACTGACCTAAGAAATCATGATTCACCTTGGGATAAGCATCTCATACTGATCCTTTCTTTCTGACTTGAATCCATTAAATACTCAAAGAAGCTAGCCATGAAAAATAATACACACAAGTGCCCAGCTGAGGAGGAAGTTAAGCACAGCATTCAATTTTTGATCATTGGGACAGAAACAATTTTAAGGGAATATTAGCATCTCAAACTTGTAAGTACAGAAGTATTCAAGTAGGGCTTCTTAACTTTTACAGGAAATGAAAGCTCAGATCCTACTTTGTGTGGCCAAAGAAAAGAAAGAAAAATCAGACTTAAATGATATTCTATCTTTTGGCTTCATTACTAGGAGGTATAAAAACACAACTTTTAGAAGTCAGATTTTCTCTTTATAATTAGAAGAATTTGTCACAAACAACTTGTAATTTAAAAAAAATTTTAATCAAAGATATGGATTGGAAGCTCTCTTAATGAAGAGATGTTTTAAGAATCAAAAGGTAGGGTAAAATGTATTACAAAATGTGATTTCGGTATTCATTGCTTTATTATGAGCCACCTCTACGTTAGAGCAGATGGGTGTTCTCACTGGCAGAGCTCTCCTTTTCAAACACGCCAGAAGTTCTTAGGACACCACACAGGAGCCAAAAGTTACACCTCTGAATCGTCACCCTATAAGTAAAATGTACAAGGCTTTCCTCAGGCCGGGGCTGTTGTTAGTCCGAGGTCAAGTGTCCTTCAGAGATTACAGCTGAGGAGCCGGGGACTCCTCACCCCCACGGTGGTCAGGGCTTTCCCAATCCCTTGCCAACACTCCACTCCCCAGGCAGCCTCTGGACACCTGAGAGACGGTCCCTGGAGATAGGCAGTGAAACACAGCCCTGCTCTTAAGGCAGTCCTGGAATGAGCATATCTGGGCAGGTGTGTGCACAAAGATGAGGCTTTAAAGCCTAAATCCTCATTCTCCTTTCTTGATAGCTCATCTCATGCATCTATTCCAGCTTGCCAAATCCAGGACTTTCCTACTCAAAGCCATTGGTGGCTATTCTGCATATGTACTGAACTTCTATGCGTTATCTTTCAAATTGATCCACAAGAAAACTCAATTTGAGTCTGGCCTTCTCACCATGTGAAAAGCCCAACTCAGAGTCAGAAACTTTTTATTTATTTAATGTTTTTGATTTTTTGAGACAAGGTCTTGCCTGCAATTCAGGCTGGCCTTGACCTCACTATGTTTCTGAGGCTGGCCTCAAACTTGTAGCAATCCTGCCCCAGCGTCTCAAATGCTAAGATTAGAGGCATGTGCCACCATGCCTGGCCCCTTAGATTCAGATTCTTTGCAAAGTTTTTCTCCTTTCTATTTGGATTTTACCTGTGTCCATCGCAAGGGGCCCTATGGGGTCTATACAAGTGTATACACAACACTTGAACTTTCTAACCTGATCCCATCCTTGTATCAGATTTAATCTCCTTGATGGTGGATTGTGTTTTACATTCTTCTCATACTAACCAAGCTTTCAAATGGTCAAAAAGCATCTCTCAACCTCTCACTCAAAAATAGTATAGAAAAATAATGCTCAAGTAATCTTCAAATAAAATCATGCCCTAATGATTGGTACTTAGTTTTCAACATGTGCATATTGGAGAAACTACAGTCCACAGAACCACTAATAAATAAGCTCTTGTTAATTTTTATTTCTTTTTTAACAGGAGCGTAAGAACAGGACTGCGCTGCCTCTCCCTGTGCAATCCCACTTTATATCCTGGGTTTTTTCACCCTCACAGTACACCCCTTTGAATACTGTACTGAGGGCAGAGTTGTTTGGGAACCAAAAAAGTCACAGAGCTACGACAGACCTTCCAGGGTCATGTCACCCAGTATTTTATAAAAGTTGATCCTGTGAATGATAGCAAACATTTAAAAGAAAGGTTCTGTGGACAAGTTGGGACTCACTTTTCACAAGAACGTTACACTGGTGTCTCTGCGCGTGTGTGGAGCCTCACGTGACGGTCCCTGGCTGCGTGCTCTCCACATGGAGGCCCAGAGAGCACAGGCGCCCTCCCTCCCCGCTCGCTGGCCCATGTGTTTCTGCAGTGAGGTTGCCCTGGCCTACTTTTCCTGAAGTCTTCTAGGAAGTGAGACTCTTACCCCGTCTCCAGCCTGCTGTTCAACCTTGTAGACTTGCTTGGTAACTTCCTGACATAGGAGACTCCAAACTAAACATCTTCCCCATCATACTAGACTAATTCTCTGTTTGTCTACTTGCCATTTTGTCATCTGTTATATCCAAGTCCAAAGCACTAGCGCAAACTCTGTGACAGGTAAAAGCCCTGTAACTGGCATTGATTAACTGGCTTTATGATGAGATTTAATGTTGGTCTCCCTGCTAGACAGTGTATCCCACGATGACCCTGCACTGTGCATTTTACTGGGGGGCTTTGTCAAAAGCAGGCACTCAAGACACTGCTAACAAATAATGCAAGTTGCCAGAGGTCACTTAAAATGACACGTATATTTTCATTAATGGCTTAATTTGGAAGGTCTGAAACCCAGGGTTTAAATCTTGAATCTGCATCTTTTTTTAGGGCAAATTAGCTTTTTTCCCTGGATTATTACTTTCTTACCCATAGAGAAAACACTGCTCTATTTTTATAGTTTGAGTACCTATCCAGGAATACTGAGAAGTCTCAATATACCGTAATGATCATTTAAAAAGGAGCAACTTTCTAAGAAGGACAGGTTTTGCTTCTACAGAATAAGCCTTTTGTAGAAAGTTTACTCCACACAATGAAATATTGCAACAGAAATGATAAATTGCAACGGAAAGGGGGGTAAACTGTAGAGGCCAGGAAGCTTTCTGATGAGTCATGCAACAGTCATACTTTGTTCAAGTAGGCTTAGGTCAAGAAGTATTATTCAGTTCTTCCTTCTGGTCTTAAGTAATGTAAGAAAGAAGGCTCACACAGCCTCACCCAGTGCTCGGACTTAGCCGCTAAGTCATCTTAATTATCCGGTAAGTTTCCTTGGTGACTTAAGATTCACATTCTGTCTAGTGGCCATTTACACTTTATGTGGAAAAGTCAGTGGTCACTTTCCAAATTTCAATGAGATGCTCAAGCGTTGTGGTTAATGGCCAATATTGAGTTATAGACGTCATTTCCATTACATTGCAAATTTAAAAACAAGCACTTACTGTTGGACTATTTAGGTCAGGAGGTGTAGACATGTCCCCAAACAAATCCATCTGGTCAACACCCTTAAAAAAGTATTTGGATTAGATTCAGATGTGTCCACTAATAAGGATTATTTTGTATATTGTCGCAGTTTTTTGTTTCCTGTATTAAGGGATTTTCATTGGTAGGCTGAGGCAGGAAGATCACCATGAGTCTGAAGCCAGTCTAGTGAATTCAAGGCCAGTCTGAACTATACAGCAAGACCCTGTCTCCAAAAAGTCAAAAAATAAACAGAACAAAACCCCAAATGCCCACAATTAGATTTTCACCTAACTTACACGGGTTTGATATTCAATTATTTAGGTCAGGTAGTATAAACATACCCAGGCAAATGTATCTGGGTCTACACCCTTAAAAAATATTCTGATTAGCTTCAAGATTATTTTGTATATTGACATAAATGTTACACTAATGTTCAGGAAAATATCTGCTGCAATTAGATTTTCATAGGGAGACAATACAAATTTGGCATTAACATCTCCAGAAAGTAGAACCCATGTCCAGGTGAGTAAGAATCATAAAATATCATGTACATACCAATTTCAGTTTGTTATCTTGATCCTCTAGAGTCATTAGAGCCTCGCTTCCATTCTGAAAAAGTGACAGTTGTTTAAAGATAGTTGAAGAGTTTTCTCTCCAGAATTTACTTTCCTAACGTACTGGTTTTTACTAGGCAGTTAGGATTTTGGTGTTGATCTTCTAGCTATACATTTTCATGTGCAGAGAGGCCATAAGCATGCAGCTAGGAGGAGAGACAGCAGACTGCGAAAGGCAGACAGTTAAAAGAGTTTGCAGACAGCAAAAAAGGGTTCGCACACATCGCATCCACAATTCACATGCAGTAAAGATGTGGTTTTACCTCGACTGTTTTGTTGGCTTCTTCAGCCTATAAAGAAAAACACAATTTCAGTGGAAGTATTTGTAGTGAAATAGGGTGAAATGAAAGAACAAATATAAGTTCATATGTGCAAGGCAAGAGCTTTGTGTATTTCGCCTGCTGGGACACTGCCTTTCCCTTTTCACACAGACGCTGCATTTGAGTAAAATTATTAGATTTGAAGTGGACTTTCCTATGAAGTGCCTAAAACCAATATAAAACTTCTAGGGAAAAAGATAAAAGGCAGAGATAGAAATCAGCAGCACTGACCCTCTGCGAAGAGCAGACAATTCTGTGCTCTGAAGAGCCCTGCAGAAGACAAGCCTCCAGCCAGGCTGTATGTATGCACAAATATAAGCATGGTTCTGAGCGTGCTTTCCACTCAACAGAGATAACTTCATACAGTTTCCAAAAGTACTTACCTTTTTCTTTTCCTCTTCTTTTTTCTTTACATTATAGATAACTTGAAAAAGGTCTTTAAGATCAACGACTAATGGCTCAGCCTAAAGCGAGAGAAAATATCATCAGTATTTTACTTTATTCTAATTATTTTCTTCTGAGTCTCCAGCAGTTCTCAGTAGTATTGATTTTTTTTTTTTTTTTTCCTCTTACAACTTCTATTGGCTTCCCCCGGTTTACAGGGATCACCTCCTCTCCACACACACTGCTAGTATAATCCTCAGACACATACAGGGCAGAAGAAACAGTTAATATTAGGTAAAACAAGAAGTATTGTGACTATTTTCAAAGTTCCTTGCAGTTTCTGGGAATAACTCACTGTCACCCTAAAATCAGCGTTAGCCGGGCATGGTAGTGCACACCTGTAATCCCAGCGCTTGGGAGGTGGAGGTAGGAGGATTGCCATGCTTGAGGCCAGCCTGGGCCACATAGTGAGACCTGCCTCAAAAGAAAAATTTACTCTCCCACATTCAGTTTCCAGAAAGCTTTCTAGTGGAGTTTCAGGTGCTCCTGCTGTCCGTAAAAGACTAGTTCCCAGTCTGACATCAAGACTCGGAGCTTACCTGTTGCCCAGTTTTTATGGCAAAAAACTGGTGCTGCCCCTCTCCTCCACACACGTAACCAAATGCCCGGTTGTCTGTCACATCACGAGCAATGAAAGAGATCTTATTTACTGGATGTTCGTGCTCTATTACCTGAAAAAAAATGTAAAGAATGACTCACTGAGAACTCAAGAGTAAGGCTAGGGTGTAGCTTCAAGCTGTTAGGCTGTGGCAGATTATCCTCAGATACATGTAGGAAGAGGTCAAAACTTTTAAAGGAGGATGTTTTGTGATCTGGTTGAGGACTACAGTGGCCGTCATTCATCCTTGTTAGGAAGCCAAAAGAAAAGAAGAATAAAACACAAAAATGAGAACATTCCTTCTTAAAATATTGATGTTTGATTCTTTCTTAGGCAAAGGTCTGATGCCACACAGCAGGTCTGATGATTAAGAGATCCAGAATTTCTCAAATCATACCTGAAGGATATATAGCCTTTAAGTCAGCTCAAGTAGGTCCACCTTCTTAGCTCGATGACAAATTTAAATGAATGACATGACTTTGCTGGAGTAGTCACAGGAATTCAATGATGGTGGCTTAGTGTGGCCAAGAAACCATTCAACAAATCATTAGAAGAACCTTAGTATATTTTGAAAGTTTCCAAATGCTGCCATGAAGTACTGTGCAATCTATCCTAGACAGTCTGTGTCATGATCTAAGAGTCACAGGTGACTGGAATTTCATTGGTTTACAAATATCTTCCCTCTTTTTTTCCCTTTCTCACATTTTGAGGAGAGATGGAGATCAGCTGGTGGAGAAACCAGCTACCATCCTCTGATGGACTTGGAAAAGTAAGAGTTGAGAGTTGCAGGATAATGATGGAGTAGTGCCTAAGTGCCTAAGGACCCAAGAAATTGGGTCAGGAGGAAGAAATGATGAGTAACTGGAGACCTTCCCACAGGGTTTTGACACAAATCAAGTATGCTACAGCAGTGAAGAGGAGCTGCAAACCACGCGAGAAGCGGACGGATCTTATTTTACATTTAGTAGAGGAAAACATATTCCAGAACACTTGAGGTCCTTAGATAAGAGTCAAAACCAAAATAAAATAGGCAAAAGTGTTCCTAGGTGATAAAATAGTATCAACCACAAAAAACAACAAACAATATACCTGAGGAGTGAGGCAGCAAGGAAAAGACAGATGATTAAAAAAAAAAAAAGCTTTGCACTGTGAGCAATGCTGTAGATTTAGAGTAGCTGGTAAATTCACATGTGATCAACAGATTACAATGAGTCTCAAGCATATAGATTATCACAAGCAAGAGATTAGAATTATCTACTTTTCATTATCTACGGTCCAAAACAGACACCCATGTGGTATTTATAATTTGTGCTCACAGATTTACATTCATGGCTTTCACAGGACATGAATTTCAAAGTAAAGTACCTTGACTCACCACTTCCTATTCTGTTTTCTTCCTGTTACTCTGGCAGATGCAATACACACTATTATTTTTTTGCCCTACAGATATTTTAGAGGGAAAAAGAAACTGAAATTCAAATAGCACATTGTCAGAATCAGGTAGTCAGATGGGTGTTAGTGAAGGTGAGTTCTTACCCCAGTTTTCTCATCGATTATTTTTATTCCAGAAAGGGAAATGTTGACCCAGATCCTTTGTTTATGTTGTCCCTGAGACCGACCAGCTGCTGCCATGCCCTGGTAAGATTTGGAAAGCAAGAAAAATCTAATGAATATCTTACAATGTTTCTAGCATTAAAAATTTAAAGGTAGTTCTGTTTTCAGCTTGGTTTGCCATCTATGAGAGGATCAGATGCCTATTATCAGGGATAACAGAAAACCCTGAGTGAGACATTCCATAGTTAGCAATACAAACCAGAACATTGAACTCTGATTCTCATGGCTTCTGCAGTCACTGATAGAGATAAGGAGACTGGACTAGAAGTACTCTAAAGATGTTCCTGCTAAGCCTCGTATTGTTTAACGAGTATTACTTATTAACAAGGTTCACATAATACTATTGAAGCTAAAAAATTCAAAACACAAAATGGCAAAACAATAAAGAAAACTGGTATCCAGGTGGAGTTTTGAATTTTACCTGAACATTTTTTGGGTAAAAACTGTTTTCCAGACACCCTATAAAACAAAAGACAAATAACACGTATCCTTGCACACAACTTTTACAGTTACTGAACGAGGGAAACTGTAAGGTAGGCTTGGCTCATCCAAGTGTTTAATCTGCCAAGATGAGAAGTCATCTAGAGCCCTGCTCGTCTGAATTAAATCGGGTCTCCACAGTAGTACTTGAAATATATAAACTTACAGCTTCACGGAAAACAAGACACTAGTAAATTATGTATATAATTAGAACAGTTTTTCAAATAGCTGAGATACAGATTATGAAAAGAGCTTCCCTCTATTGGACCTAGGCTTCAGATACAGATAAAGCATTCGTTTACCTTGAGTTTCATCATAGAATCTTGGCTCATCTTATCCCCTCGGGCATCTGGCACGTCATCAATTCCGATTAGCTTGGCCTTATATTTTACACCATCGCCTTTGAACCTAGCCAAGAGATACTCGTCTGTTTTTTCAGTGCCTGAGAAAAAATAGAAATACAGGATAAAGTGTATACCTAGATACCAGTCCTAGGTATAACTAAGATGTGCTTCAGAACCTTAAAAAATTCAGTAGTATAAATCCCGATCATACTGCATGTGATCACACATGGAATGTTCTGTGTTTTATTTTTATTTCCTTTGAGCAAAATCATGCTCTTAATATTGAATATAGAGTGGAGAGACAAACTCTTAGAGATACAAAATTGACTATGGCAAATTCATGGGAATATGTGAGCAGGGCGGGGGCTGGTCTTCATCAAAGCTTTTTAAAGATATGTAAAGAAGTGATATCTATTTTTAATGAAAGAAAAAATTAGCAACCACACAATTTGACATTTCAAACTAAAAGCTATGCAGAAAGGAATTGTGGGTAAGATTTTCTGACTTCCTTTGTGTCTCCTGGAGGCTCTGGTCCAGAGCTCAAGAATCTTAGTGAAAAACAAGCATGACATGGCATGTTCCTTCATGCTGAATCATTAAGGACTCTGCCATTTTTTTTTTTTTTTTGGACTGGGAATTGAACTCAGGACCTTGTGCTTACCAGGCAGGCACTGTGTCACTGGGCTATGTCTCTGGCTCAGGACTCTGTCACTCTCTACTAGTACTTCATATCAAAACAAGAAGATCTAATAAACGCTATTTTCACCTTTAAAAAACTTGTGACTTCAATAAAACAAAGCAGTAAATAGACTACTGAAAGATAACTCTGTAACTGATGGCATAATTATTAGGAATTAAATAGTTTTCCAGTGGAATCTATGTTGGCGTCACCACAGATTCAGAGATAAATCTTGTAACATGTGGGGTTCACCAATCTTTTCTGTCAACTGGTTTAGGAGTGTTTGAGGCTAACCTAACACTGTAGCCAGGCAAGAGACATCTCTTACCTTACCCAGAATGTATGTCACATTTCTCCAGAGGTAACCACCTCTGCTTCTGTTTACTGATTTCAAGAGGGTTTTGTTGCATACCTTTCTTCTTTTCCTTCTTTGATGGTGCTTTTGGTGCAGCCTGTTGGTCAGGCTGACCGTTGGTCGTGCTCGTTTCTACTTCGTTGGACATGGCAAGAGGGCAAGCAGCAAATCCCAGCCCCAGCAGACACTTAGTGATACCACGTGATCCCTGATGGCTGAGTCTCAGATGAACATAACCTATGGCACACACCTGTGAGCACAGAAGCGTAATGAGATCAGAAAACAGCAGATGCAGACTTTAGTCACAAAGGTCTACAACTAGTGATTCTCTCCTGTATTCTGTGGCCTTGTGTGGCTCCTTGTCTAACGGACTGAATACTGAGAGCAGGAAAGTGAGCAGGATGATTTCCTTTGTAGTTTCCAAAGTGGGGGGAAAGTATGTTTAATAGAATTTTTTCTTTAAGCACTCCATCTGCTAACTTTAATGATTACTGAGCTCCATGCATTAGAATTTTGGCTTAAATAGCTGGTATTAAAGATAGGGATCAAACACTTGCTGGGTTTTATAGTGAAATAGAAATATGCAGAATTTTATTCTTGTTTTTACAGACAGGGTTTCGCCATGTAGTTCAAGCTAGTCTTGAACTCACTATGTAGCCCAGGTTGGCCTCAAACTCGAGATGATCTTTCTCCCTCAGGATTGCATGTACTAGGATTTCAGGTGTGGGCCACCATGCTCAGTTAAATATGCTGAATTATGAGCCTGATAAGACAGCAACTAGCATCCGAAAGTAGATATTATAAATTTCATTTCTTTCCAAAATTGCTTAACTGTAAAGACAGCAGCAAAACGGGGTACTGGCCTGAGAATGTAGCTTGGTGGCAGATCAGTTGGCTCTGGGTTTGGTTCCATTCCCCAACAACTCAGATGGACACTCAAATATACCAAAGGAAGAGTGAACTTACGAGGACCTCTTGTGCAATTCATTGACTAGAAGTCCCCTTATGCTATTATGTACCACTACCATTCTCAAAATAGTTATGTATACACTCTCATAAAGCTCCTCCTTATAGCAGAATGGTAAAAGAGGACAGCACAGTGGGAGAAGGTGACCTTTTAGGACACAAACTAAAGGCAAGGCAAAGCCAGGCTTTGTTTTTTCAGTGCCGTGAGACTGTCCCTGGAACACTTCCCCACTGCAAAAGTCCTCTTCATTCTGTGCTCTGCCCTCCATTTATTTAAGGATGGGCCACACCCACAGCATGGGAATGTATGCTGTTTGTTAGATACCTAAAGATAGAAAGTCAGGACTCAAGCTTTTTATTCAGACAATTTAAAATGTATTTAAGTTGCTTTATAAATGGCAGTGTGTTTTCTTGAAGGTCAGTATTTAATTTCTGCCCCTTAGGGTTTTTAAGTAGTCATTATAATCTTAACATTTAAATACATATATACCTACATGCACAATCTACATGGAATGAATGCTATTGAACGGTTTCAGTTAGAGAGATTTAGTACTAATTTTGCTCAAATCCACTTCACTGATAAGTAGCCAGGGTAGCTGCTACTTGGGAAGAAGCAGGAGGGCTACTTAAGGCCAGCCATTTAGGATCAGTCTGGGAAACAGGAAGATTCTATCTCAAAAATAAAATGCTGAGTGTGATGGCACACACCTACAGTCCCAGTATCATGGGAGGCTAAGGCAGGATGACGTCAAATTTAAGCCCAGCCTGGGCAAGTTAATGAATTACCAGAGGGAGAGGGAGAGGGAGGGAGGAGGCGAGTGAGGGGACGGAGAGGGAGTAGGGGGGAGATTTGAGGTGCAGAGAGTCACAAAAGAAAAGCGGTATGAAGGCAAAGGTAGAGAAACGCATCTACATAGCAAGGAAACCCAAATGCTACCGACATCCCCAGAAGCTAGGAGAGAAACATTGATCAGGTTGTCTCTCAAGAGATTCCAGAAGGAAGCGACTCTGTGGTGTCCTGATCTTAGCCTTCTTGTCTTCAGAAGAGTGATGGAATAAATTTCTCTTGCTCTTAGCCACCAGTTATAAGATTTCACAACAGCTCTCGGAAATGAATACTATCTCCAGTTTGCATGGCCCCTACCTTTTGTTTCTTGGCAACATGCTAAATACATCTCCTAGTTACAACTGTACTCTTCTAATTTCAGGCCAGTAACTTTTCTCTTAATTTCATGGACTTTTCTCCAAATCTAACGGGTGTTTACCTATGTTAGTCACAGGAGATGTGTTAAGCTTTGATTGAAGGAGACAGACTGACATTCATTCTCCCTGGAAAAACTACAAATTGCTCCAGTTTTACCTTAGAAGAAACAGAACACTTTAGCAAAGCCCACTAGCCCTCTGATGATCATCTCACAATCATTTCAGGATTAAATATCTCAAACTGACAGCCTGGTTCCTCTGCCTTCTCCTGGCCCCTTCCTCCCAAAGCACCGAATAACTCAGTCCTTTTCTGTCACCTGTGGCCTCAACGGTCTCCTGACCAAGCCCACTTACTCTGCTTTTCATTCTTTGGGGGAATCCACTGCATTCGTCAGAAAACTATATCTTCTTGGGAGCATTTCTTCCTCTGCTTTCTGCTCGTGTGACAAAGTCTGGGTCATGACTATTTTTTGCTGAATCAGCATATCACAGATTTTTTTTTTTTTTTTTAAATGATGAAGCTTCTCTAAATATTAAGATGAAAATCTTACTACTTAACCCCGTGGGGTCCCCCTATGAATAGGGGGAAAGATTTAGACTTTTTCATTTTGTAGATAAGACCCTGAAATCTGGGGCTGGGGATTTAGCTCAGCAGCATAAGTGCCTGCCTTGCAAGCAGGCAGTCGTGAGTTCGATCCCTGGTACCGATAAAAAAGAAAAAGCCAAAAAAAAAAAAAAAAAAAAAGATTCTGAAATCTTTTGTTCCTCTTCATCTTCATCTTCATCCTCATTTCATTTCACTTCCTTGTACCAACCCCCAGTCCCTGACTTCTTTTAGGATGGTTATTTAACATTCTCAGATTTGCTGAGCTTCTGGTTGACTCGCATGCTGTTTCCCAGGTCACCTGTTTGCCCTGAAGATGGTAGGTAAGACCTCTCTCTGAAGTCTTTGCTCTCCCTTGTAAGTTACACACACCACTGCACGGTTCTTACACAAGTGTATCCCACACTTGTCTGCATACCTGCTGTACTGTAATCTCCTTGAAAAGCGGACACTTATTTCTCCCTGTCTGAAATATAGAAGCCATTTGTGTGAAAGGTAATGAGGATTTTTGGAGTTTTGCATATTTTCTTATTTGTTTGGGGTTATGTGTGCAAATCTGAACATATTACCTATTGTTTTGTATCTCTTCACCTGTCCTTTTAATGTAAATTTTTGGAAGTAAATAAGTAATTTTGTCTTTAGGTAGTGATTTTTCAGATGGGTCTGTGACTAGACTCCAGGAGTGGTGAGTATAGCCCAAAGACACAAACTGCTGCTCTCTAGCAGTGGTGGCAAAGCTCCTAGGACTCTGCAACTTCTCAGTTTGGAGATGGGATAGGAACACCTTTCTCTGAATGAAGGACAGTGTCACTGTGTCGGGTGGAAACATCTGTTTGGTGTGGGAAGCCGTTCACAGGTGCAGAAGGGCGAGTGAGAGCTGGGGATTGGTCACTGTGGTCGTGCTAGCGATGAAGTTGTCTCAGCTTCAAAACTACCTTCATACACACCTGGCTCTGTGATGCTGCAGCTGGGACTCTGCCAACATTACTGCTGGCCACATGTGAGTCTACCTGTAAGGGGAGAAGGGACTCCCACATTTCTGTCTACATCACACTGTCTCCTTATGGCTTGTGCCTCCCGTGAGTGTCACCCAACATCAGCAGAGGTCTTTTACCCTCGGAATAAGTCTCTTCCTGTAGTAACCGCTGAATCCAGTCTTCAGCATTTCCTAGGCTTGCAAAACAGCCTCATCGCATTGAAGGGTGCACCATCAATTTCCCTCCTCCCTAGCCCACAATCCTAGGTCTGTAGAGTGTCAAGATCCTGGTGCCAGCTGAACAGCACCCTTTCCCAGATCTGACCAGCAGCCGCATGAGGTCCTCCTCATCCAACTTGGTAAGTTTGATGATTCCACTGTCTTCCCTTGTCTCTGCAGTCCTAAAGGTGGCAGTTATCCTATGCAGTTTGCTGATCCAGTGATAATCTGGCTCTCTTGCAATACTTTCTCAGTTAACGGGAAACAACTCTACGCCTCGTTAATGCTTAACATCAAGATATTTTAAAACAATGAGTGTAGACTGACACCTAACTGACGCAATGGTAGCCTCTTTTGATCTTATGGCCTAAAGAACTGTGTCCACCCTTACATGTCTTTAGAAATTGTACTGTTTTGCTTTTCATGACTACATTTACATACTTTGGTATATCTATTTTTAATTTCCTAGCCCAAGAACAAGAACTGTAAGAAACAAGAGAACGCTTCTGTTCTCTTTATGGTAGTAGGCACCTGGAGTATTTGTGCAGTTACAGCTTCAAGTCTGTCTTGAAGCCAGTGTTACACTGAGTTCAACAATCCATACACTGACGGCAGAGGGAAGATGGTTCAGAACCAGGAGGAATCAGACTGAGAAAGTGACCTGAGCATAGAAGTTTTCACCCCTTTGGGTGCCTGGCATTATACTTTCCTGCAGGATTTTACTTCTAGTGAGAGAAGACTTAGCTCATTAAGTTTTGCAATTTTAATTCTGAAGTGAGAATACTTTAAATTAAGAAGAATATTTTAAATTAGCAGACTTGGCGAAGGGATGGTGGCTTGTGCGTTTGGTTATAAAAGTAACCCAAGGCAAAACAAACGCATAACATTAGGTATCAAATTTAGTGTTGGCAGACTGGATCAAATGGAAGGGTTTTAGTTGAACGGTGCTACCTTCTATAAGTTTTTGCAGCAAAAACTTGTCTCTTCATGCACTGGATACAACTTTCACAGCACCAAAAGTTAGAAGGTATTTTGTTTCCTTTTTATATCCTTAATTATTGGTAATTGAATAAGTTACAAGGAACAAGGTAGAAAAATAAGGGGAAAAAGTTCCTTTAGAATAAGTTTCCTGAAGAAAATTGGATGTAGAGTTGCAATAACAAGGGTAAACAGAAGCCAAGAAATCAAAACTATATCGACAGTCTTTGAAATGACCAGTAGGTAGACTTGTCCATAGGCCCCACAAGATGCAGATATAAACTCCTTTCCAAAATAAATGTCC